GGGGAAAAACAAGGACTTTAGAGGGTTGAACGAACAGTTGCAAGTCCACAAACAGCTGCTCACCGGGTGCCGGGCGCGACAACAAGTTCCCGTCAAGGTAACGTGCGAACTTACGAAAGGTTGTTCAACGCTCGACACTATATCGAAGCCCCATCCAGCCCTCTGCCACCCGAGGGGTTCAAAGGGGCTGAGATGGCTGACGTTTTGGTGAGCGGAGGCGGGCTGTAGAAAACAGCCTGCGGTATATGAAAACGGAGCTGTTTTGGGGCTGTTTTGCTCGGTTCGGTGAGCGTTCGCTTTGTAGCGCTGCAACTTGTTCGAACTTACATTTTTACAAGCAAAATGACTCAAAACCAAGGCAAAACAGGCTGCCAAGTAGCTATACATGTAGATGAGAGCGACGAACGGTTCGTTGAACGGAGTTGTTGCGGGTGCGCGACGATCGTTCGTGACATTCTCCCCCACTTAAACTGTCGACGCCCTCGTCGACGCTTGTTTGTAGTTGTTGATGATTGCTTCTTCATGTCCTAGGGCGTCTTTAGGCTCCCAACTGGCTTCAGTTCGGGGAAGCTTTCGCCACTTCACCAAGTACTCTGTTTGCTCAGCTCCATTGGGTAGCTTTATCTTGCGGTTCGCTAGAATGGTTCGCGTTTTGGCCGCAAGGGTGCCTCACGCCTTAGGCAATTCCAGCTAAGGCCGTGACATTACGCCATTGCTGTCTGCAGCTTTTGTTGCTGCCCCACAGCTATTGTCCACAGCTCTGCCGCTACCGCTGTTGTCGTTCGCAGCGTTGCTGCAACTATCTTAAACTAATCCTCCGTTGCTGCTACTATCTCCCTCTATTATTGTTATTTTTTTCTCCCCCTCTAACTTAAGTAATATAGAGTTAATAGTATATTTTTAATTTAATATAGTGATTTAAAAAGCGCTAGGCCCCAAGGCCCCAAAACACTAGCGCTCACCCGAGCGAAGCGAGGTGCTCTAAAATATTAAAATATAAAAATATATAATATAATTAAAAATATAATTATTTAAATAAAAAAATATAATATTAAATTAAAAATATACTATTAACAGTATATTACTTAAGCTAGAAGAGGAGAAACAATATTATTTGAAATATTAAAATATAAATAATAATAATATAATTATTTAAATTAAAAATATACTGTTAGTAGTATATTAGATAGCAGCAACGCTATGAACAATAGTAGCGGCAGAGGTTTACTATATTGTTAATAGTATATTACTTGAAGTTAGAGGGGGGAGAAAAAAAATGTTAACAGTAACAGAGATAGCAGCACGTTGCGAATGACAGCAACGACAACGACGGAAGCTGCGGACAGTAGCAGTGATAGCGACGAAAGCTGCGGACAGCAGCAGCGGCAACGACGGAAGCTGCGGATAGCAACGACGATAGTGGCAGCAATGAAAGCTCTAGAGGGCGTCCATCAATGGCGGAGGAACCTGCGGTCCTCTCCCTCGATAGTGGAAGGATGTGACAGCAGAAGGAAGCTACGAGGGTCGTTGAACTCATCTGTCGACAATAGAGGAAGGCACGGTCCGTTGCGTCTGCAGCGACAAAAAGCATTGGCGGTGGAGGTAGGAGCGCTAGGGTTCCTCGGGGTTGCGCAGGCGTGAAGCGTGGTTTTGAGGTAAGAAACTTCAAACCGAACCAGCCTTAAATAGGTTTGGTTCGCCTAATAGAGTCGGGTGCTTGCGTTCGGGCGAGCGCCCAAGCGGCGCCTCATTGAAGCACGTCGCTTGGTGCACACACGAGGCATTTGGGCCTCGCCTCACCCCGCCCGAGCGCTTAGGCGAGCACCTATTTAAATCACTGATTTAATTACATATTTTTATTTAAATAATTATATTTTAATTATATTATATTTTTTATATTTTAATATTTTGGAGCATCTCGCTTCGCTCGAACGAGCGCCTAACGCCTCGGGCGTTTTGGGACCTTAGTGTCTTTTGGCACCTAGCGCTTTTTAAATTACTGTTATGAAGTTAGAATTTTACTGGGAGATTATGGTCACAAAGTGGTCATGTTTCCTGTTGTATTACATATTAGTGTTTTGGTACATGTATAAGGTCTGATATCATGAAGTTCATCCCAAGGCCTACATTTGGTGCTTCCAACGTGTGTTATACCTGTCAGAGTGAAAAAAGAATGTTTCTTGCTACATGAGATATATGGTTTTCTTTCTGCTGCTTAAATGAGACTTTGTTAGCAGTGATTAACAATTGGCACTACCATTGCTTTTTGCAAACTCCTATTCGATTCTTCCTACAAATATACTTGCTTTAGAATATAATAGAGCAGAGAATAAAATCCATCTTATTTGTGTTTTGCAAGTATTAAGATATATTTCATGAGCTTAGTTGAAATTCTTTATAACCACCTGAAGGTCTATAGAGTGTTAATTTTTCTTATATGTTTCAGAACTGTTTTAATATTTGGTCTTTGCTTAAATTGGTGATATAGGTTGTTGCTGGTGGTGGTGCTGTCGAGGCTGCATTGTCTGTGTACTTGGAGTATCTTGCTACAACTTTGGGATCTAGGGAACAGCTGGCAATTGCAGAATTTGCAGAATCTCTTCTCGTCATACCTAAGGTCGTAAATAACATTAAGTTGTAACATTTCTCATTTGATTACATAAAAAATTCTTGATTTACAGAATTTGTACAACAGGTGCTTTCTGTGAATGCGGCAAAGGATGCCACCGAGTTAGTAGCAAAACTTCAGGCTTATCACCACACTGCCCAAACCAAGGCAGACAAGCAGCACCTTTCAAGGTCATATTTGCGGTCACCGTATTCATCATTATAATTTAAACATATGTTGCTTGCTCTTTGTTGGCTTTTCTAGGTTTGTCAATCAGTAAATCACAATGTCTTCAGCTAGTATTGTCTGTCTGCTTTAAAATTCACTTGGTCTCGGGGAAAATTGTTGGAGCATTATCTGTTTGTAACAATTAAATGTATCTCCAACATAACTGAATCTTTTTTCAGACAATGGAAACTGCTCAATTCTGTGTTGTGAACTAAAAAACATTGACTAGGTACTTTTCCATCCATAACAAGGAGAACAATTGATATGATGTTGCTATTAAAATCTTAATCCTGTGCTTCTGCCAACTTGTCCCCAGGTGCCTAGAATTTCTTTGTCGTTGCTACTTGAGTTATGTTAGCACCTCAAATGATGATTTACCTGACCATCATCAGTCACCAACTTTTTCAGTGACCTGTGTGTGTGTGCATAGTACAGTTAGAAACATATTACTTAGTATTTGGAAAGATTCTTATTGCATTTTCCGCTTGTATTCATATATGAAATTCTTTATTGATGTTAAGACGCCCGAAAGAACTGCTTTGCTTACTTTTGCCGTAATATGGTATGCAGACTGTCGTCACATAATCTTATATGTTATTTGTTATACTGCAGTATGGGGTTGGACCTCTCAAAAGGTATAGTTCGTAACAATCTTGAAGCTGGAGTTATTGAGCCTGCAATGAGCAAAGTGAAGATTATACAGGTAAGCAACATATTTGACTTGTCGATGCAACGGTTATGGTGTTGCTATGGTTATACTCGTCAACAAATTTTCCAGTTGAATCCATATTTTTTGATGTGGATTGAGACATAATTCTCACCTCTCTTTCTGTATACTGGCAGAGAGAGCTATTGACCGGCATATAAGCTGCCATTTTGTTGATTATCCTTTTTATACGTCTGAATGTTGAGTGCTTGCAAAATAAATGGCTTACATTCACGTAATATTTTAGGGTTACGATCTTAATTGATGTTGACTTGTTTTAACTGCAGTTTGCAACCGAAGCAGCTATAACAATTCTGCGGATTGATGATATGATTAAGCTTGTGAAAGATGAAAGGGAGACTGAAGAGGATTAGATCGCCAGGATGTGGTTAAACTGAAGTGAGCTTGCAGGATTTTGTGTTTTCTAGGGAGTTTTCGTTTTGATAATTACGTTGTCCGACGAATGGAAAGTTTTGCCATGCAGTTTGGGACTTTTGTAAACCTTGTGAAACTCTATTGTCAATCCGAGAACAGGCTTAACCTTTTGCTTTGTACGATAGTTTTCTATTCTTTAAGGTTTTGGGGATGGTTACTTCCAATTTGGATTGCAAGCCTAATGCAGAAATATTTTGAATGTATACATTTGCAATGAAATTTGTCGAGCATGTCAATGTTGTTAAAATTGGACCATAGGATTTTATGGTCTTATGATGGTATATAAATTTGGTAAAGAAAGAATCTATAGATGGATGCAAGATTTAATTCTCGAGGGAAAAGAGTATGTTTTTGTTGTCTATTGGAGAGTCATCTTTCAATTTATTTAACTGTAAATATAATAATCTCATTACTTTTGTTTATCGAAAGTCTCAAGCCATCAAAATGCGATTGTGTTCCATGTTGCATGCATGCATTCTAGTGCTTGTGCTTTCATGTGCTTGTGGTATACGTCTGGAGCTGAGTATTAGCATATGGGTTGGTTGGTGGTACGCATGCAATCTAGATATGTCTTCAAAGTTTTAATGGATTACAGCATCTTTATTACATACTAGCAACTATGATTGATTGTATCTACAGAAAATGGTCTCTACGAGGGTAGTCATACTGTGTCGAGATCGTTCATGAATGGTAACGTTGGTGTGATCCCCACTTGCTGAGCGATGGTGTATATGGATGGTGGCCGAAAGATAGGCCTTTTGTGTGCCCCTTCCTGAGCGATGATGGTGTGCTCGTCGAGCCTTTGATAGGGTTTCAAAAGACTAGAGAGCTCAAAAATCTCGGATCGACCTTTCTGTGTGCGTCGTGTCCTTTCAGGTGGGTTGTGGGTTTTAAAAAGATCACTTCTGCATCTTCTCTTCTATCTATTATCGGTCCTTTAAATCATCATGAGAGAAAATCATTAAAATTATTAAAATCATTGAGTTTATCTTTCAAGACGCTGAACGTTATACTGATTGGTTAATAAGTATAAGCTTCTATCTATAAGCATCTTTTTAAATATGATGAAAGGGTTCCTACAAAGATGAAAACAGAAATGGTTCGATTTTTAGTTAGAAATATTAAAATTTTTGATATTTATCGGAATTGAAAATCGGAATGCATGAATTTTTTTTTTTTTTTTTTTTGATCGAGGGTTTAATATCTTATGATAGCAAAAATGTTTGGGCTCATGAAGAGTGGGTAAAATTGATGCATGGGACACATCAGAGCTACATCTGAAGGTCAAACTGATATCCTTTTTTTGCCTTTGCCTTGAATTCTAATGAGTGAAGTATAAACGCTTATAAGCTTCTTTCTATAGGCATCTTTATCTTATTTATAAATATGACAAAAAGTTCCTACAAAATAGAAATAAAAAATATTAAATTTTTTTATATTGATCAGAATGAAAATCAAAATACTAAGTTTTTTCCTTTTCCGATCAACGATTTAACAAAAATGTCAGACTCATAACAAAAATAATAATTTTCCTTCGCAGACACCAATAAAAATTGGATGGTACACAAAGTGAAGATGTGTTCTTGCTATTTATTCAAATATGATCCAATCATCATCCTTGATAATCCAAAAAAAAAAAAAAAACAATGATTAATTGTGCCTTCAAGAAGTCCTTTTTGTTCCAGTGATCCATCTTCTTTGTGTTTCTTGTGTTATATAATGTCCGATGGTCAAAACCTACTATCAACAAGACCATGTCACCGCGAGGTAAAAGTCTGCCGTGTCTACTACACTGCTCGATGGCATTGAATGATGATAAGTTACTTCTCAAGAGACAAATCAGTCATTTGTCATGGCATAATATGAGCAATGTACCATTGTACGCGCCGCATCAAACATTTGTCATGGCATTTTAATTATGCAGCTTAACACTAAAATTTAGGTTTCCAAATAATGAACCTGTCAGCATATTTCATCAACAGACACAACTATTCTTTTGCCATATAATTTATCACACACTTGTACCATTTAAGTGGAAAATGAAACCGACTGGTATTAATTACCAGCAGCACACCAACTATCCACAAGTTTTACCTATCAAAATACCAAGAATGACTTTAGTGAAAAGAATTTACTTACTAATGTGACAACCTACTAATAAGAATTTACTTACTAATGTGACAACCTACTAATAAGAATTTACTTACTAATGTGACAACCTACTAATAAGAATTTACTTATCACTGACAAATGCACTCCTACGTGGGTCACTTTGTCATTGGATTGACAATGATTGGACCATACAAAAAAAATTTATTACCTTTAGAAGTTTTCGAGGAACGACATTTTGTCGATAACATTTATAGAATGATAGAAATTATTTTAGTAGAGTATTATTTGATTTATTTTTTTTCATTTGATTTTCACTGCATCCACGAAGACCATTCCTATTCTTGAATTACAAGTGTATAAACTGACTTTTGGTGATGTTTTTTTCATATTAGATGTTCTTACCATGTTTTAAATTTATATGTACAAGAAGGTCTTGAAACTTTTCTTTCTCCAATTAAGCAAGCAATTGTATTTTTATCATCCACAAGCAATAAAAAAACGAGCTATACTTTACATATTAAATGGTAAAAGACTCAAAAGATTTTCTAGGAACGTTCCTACCCGATGGAATTCTACCTATGAATTGCATATTGAATCTTTTGATTATAAAAAGTTATTATGCACTTTTATAACAAATAATGTTAGATAGGTTAGTTTATATCCACAACATTGGAATGTTTATGAAAAACTTTAGAAATTTTAAAATTTATTATTGATGCTATCTATACTTTATTCAGTGTTTATTATCCTACTGCTCATATATTTTTAATTATTTTTACTAATATTATTGGTGCTTCTAAAACATTTCAACATGATCATCATTTAAATATGACTTGTACGGTGATTTAAAGCCCGAGGCGTTAGATGCTCGCCCGAGCGAAACGAAGCGCTAAAATATAAAAATATATGATATAATTAATAAATATAATTATTTAAATAAAAATATGATATTAAATTAAAAAATCTTACAAAATCATAATATCACATTAATAAAAAAATATCAAAATTTAAAACAATAACAATAATTTCAAATAAATAAAAATTAATAATATTAAAATCAAAATAATATATTATTAATATACTGTTACTAGTATACAGTTAACAATATACTGTTAACAATATACTATCGAGTCGATGTGAGAAAAGGTAGCAATGAGCAGCAAAAGCATGAGAGGCGAGTGGCGATAGTGGCAACGACAATGGTAGCAGCGAGAAGCGACAGCGAGAGCGGGAGCGACGCACAATGATAGTGGCATCGATAGCAGTAGCAACGAACAACGGGAGCGGGAGCGACGAGCGATGATAGGGGCAGCGACAGCGACGAGCAGCGAGCAACGATAGTGGTAGCGATAGCAACGAATAGCTACAGCAGTAGTAGTAGCAGCGAGCAACGACGACGGTAGCAACGAGCAACGGGAGCGGCAACGGGAAAGGTGATAGTGGCAGCGATAGTCGCAAGAGGGATGTTGGGAGGCTGATATCGATGCTTTAGTTGGTTCAATCAAACCAACTGAAGCACCGGAGATCGAACCAAACGTAAAACAATGGTTCGATCGCTTGGTTTAACCCGGGCGCTCGCTCGAAGCGCCCGACGCCTAGGCTCGGGCGAGCGCTTAGGCCTCTTTGAAGCGAGGCACCTGGACATGAAGCGAGGTGCTCGGGCCTCGCCTCGCCTCACCCGAGCGCCTAGGCGAGCGTCCGAGTGCCTATTGAAATCGCTGGACTTTTATGACAATAAAATCAAAATTGACAAATTATTTTCTCGATATTCCATCGATTTAGTTTGTTGCTTGTGGTTTTGATCCCCCTACTAGAATAGATTATCTAAGTGACTATTTAAATATTTATTATAAAAAAATTAGGATTAGAAGTTGATATTGATGATAAAATCAGAGAAATAAATAAATAAACTGATCATTAACTTATATAGCCATTGATATAGCCATATTATCGTTGAAGTGTGTGCATGCCTAACTAGTCACCAAGACTGCCTATATACCGAGTCCTTGTGTCAAATTCTTCCGGTCCCTCCAACCAAACTATCATCTTCAAACTCCAGTCTTGTCTTAAGCCAATTGCAAATGTTAGAACCATCCTAAGGAAACATCTTAACACAGTTATGAAAGCCATCATTGGATAATTGACATCTACGTTTCAGAGCACTAGAGGACCTAAGCAAGCATGAATATCAAATTAAAAAAGATAAATGACATCATTTTCAAAAGAACAAGCAAAAGGTCCACTAGAATAGTCATGTTGCATAAATCACAGCTCTAGTCACCATCCTATATTTCCGAAACATCAAACACCTTTTTGACTTCGTTTAACTCTTTAAACTAAGAAAGCCATTTCTCCAAATTTCCCTCGGAGGTGTTGGGCTGCAATGTTGGTGAATGCATCTTGAAAGAAACCACAAGCAGGTTTCCTCGAATGATGCAAACACCAAGTTGCTATAGGTGTGCTTACTGACCATTCACACAAAGATTACAGCCATCACAGCTGCAGGGGTGTGACTGGCTAATTGGCCACCAGCATCAAAATTTCTTACGAACTCCACAGTAGACTTGTTGAACAGCCAAACGCAGAACCATCAATTCGTTGTGGTTCCGATTTCGGAAGCACAAAAGCATCGATCTTTAAGCAATAACAACGAATCATAAATTAATAGCATAATACCTTGCTCCTTCCTTTGAAAGAAGTGCTCGACTCTGATATTTACGACTTGCTTTCGCTCTTTCAATCATTTCCGCTTCTCGTCAAAGATAATGCCGGCAGATCCTGGAACTACATCTGTCGAAAGACCATGGTGGTGGCGGGCACCCAGCACCTCAAAGAACTCCTCCTCGACCTCGGTAGCGGCGAGGAGGATCGTGGTCGTCGTCTCCATGGCCAAGGGAAATTGGACAGCTACGCCGACAAGGGATCGAAGCTTTAAGAAGGAATCCAGGCGCACGAAGTAAGCTAGGGTTAGGGTTTTGAACGTTCACCGCACTTGTTTTAACCGTTGGATGGTTCCAGCGGTGGACGTGTCGATCATCGAGCGAGTGCATAGAAGGTCAGGGTTCAAGCTCGTTGTAGCATGAATCTGGTAAAAACAACGTAAATAAATACTGATTTGTCTTGTTAAGATGTGTTTGTGGTGGATGCATCATTGCACGGTTAATTCATCATATGTTCGAATGTCTTATATATCGTTTAATGTAATTAATGAAAAATATTTTTTTAAATATTAAAACATCATCACCATTAAAAAAAATAAGAAGTTAATTATTTCATAATTAGAATGTTAAAATAGTTACACATCTCAAACAAATGTCATCAAAAAATTACTATTACTCCTCTCAACAAAAAAAAAAGAAAAAAAAAAGTGTAAGTTGCTACTTCTCTCTCCCCTTTTGTTATTATAAAAAATTCGGAGAGGGATATCGTGGTATCATAGTGCTACTTCTTTTGGTTTATATCAATATGTCAATTGTAAAACTATTTTAATATCACAAGAAGGTTATTAATATCAAAGATAAATTCTGAGAGATCAATTGATGATGGGGGTATACAGGTCATGAATATAAAAGAGTCATATGAAATAAATCTTAAGTCGTACATATCAAAAAATCATGATTTATTTAGATAAATCTCCTTTTATAGGAGATCAAATAATAAAAAATCTTGATTCATATAAAATAAATCTTAAGTAGTAAACACTGAAAAATCAGGTAAAAGATTATGATTCATTTAGATAAATATCCTCTTTAGTAAATAAAAAAAAAATTATAGGAGATCGAATAGTATAAAATTTTAATTCAAAAAAAATAAATCTCAAGTCATAAACACCAAGAAATCAAGTGAAAGATCATGATTCATTTGGATAAATCTCTTCTATAGTAAGAAGAAATAATCATATGAGAACAAATAGTAAAAGATCTTGATTAGATTCATCAATGCATTTAGACTCGATTTGAAATAAAAAAAGTAACATTTACACAAATATTTTTTAACGAAGGACGAGTTTAAACATTTTTTGATGTATACTCAATAATTAGCTTCCTAGGATATGTATTTATATACTTTTATTCTTTGGATAAGATTTGTTTAGAATATATGTATCCAAGTTGCTTTAGGGAGAATATTCTTCATTTAAATTTAATTTATTAAATCCAAAATCATCATCAAAATTATTTTTCTTAGTTTGAGAAATTTATTAAAAATAACATAAAAATATTCATCAATGATTAGAGATCTATTATTGAAAACTCGAGAAGATTTAGAGATGAAGAAATATTAAAGAAAAAATACATCCTTTTATAAGTTCTTTAATATATAAAATTTATTTTATACTAACATACCCTAGTTTTCTATGTCAAAGCCATGCATTATCATTGAAAATTGAAAAATAATTTTTATCACGAAAATTATCAGTATCAATAGTGTAAATATTATTACTTCTTAAAGCAATCATAGATTTATTCTCATTTGGTATTTCTATGATGTAAGCATGAGATTCAAATTTAATATTATATTTTTTATCGTAAAGTTGACTAATGCTTATTAATTTATGTTTCAAACCATCTATTAAAGGAATATCTTTAATTAAGATATTTGATTTATTACCAATATTTTCAATGCGAATGTGATATATATCATTTGTCTTGACTAGTGAACTTCAAGAAGTGTGTTGGATATCCGGTTATATGCATTGAGTATCCACTATCAAGGTACTATCTCTTGTTCCTAGCTCTTATATAGAGACATACTTACAAGAAAGAGGAGTTTGTTTTAGGTACCCATTTAACTTTAGATTATTCATGGTTCGATATATCTTTCTTGCTTTAGGTACCCATTTGCGATAGTTCCTTTAGGAATCCAAACTAATTTATAAGAGTTATATTTTTTAAAAGAGCATGTATAAGCATAGTGACCAAATCTTTCACAAAAAATATATTTAACTTAGGATATTGTTGGCTTTAGTTGAGTGTTACTACTCAAGAAGCCAATTCCTTCATTTCTATATGTATAACCTTTATTAGCAAGAATTATGTTTAATGATTTATTTTTAATTTTTTAATATTTATTATAATAATATATTTTTCTTTTTGAATGATTCTAATTCTTCATATTTAATGCAAGATGTTAACATGCAATTATCATACTTATTTTTTAATTTATCAAATTAATTAGAGAGAGATACGTGATCTTTTTTAGTAATTTATATTTCTTACTAATTATTTTAAGTTTATTATATAAATCATGAAATACATTAAGTAATTTATCATAAGATAAGGAAATTTCAGATGAGTCACATACCTCATCGTTGAAAGCCATCAATGTATAGTTTACCACTTCATCTTCATTAGTTTGCTCTTCGTCTTCTGATGCACTTGATTCATCCTATGTTCCCTTGAATGTTTTCTTTTTTTTTTGTATTCACAACTTTTTCTTTAATTATGGATACTCATTTTTCGAAGTGCCCTGGCTTTTTGTATTTATAACAAATTAGTGTTTCCTTTTTAAGTTTATTTTTATTATTCGATTTTCTTTTTATAGAATTAGTCATGTTCTTTTTCATAAACTTTTTAAATTTTCCTATAAGGAGTGCCATGTCATCATCATCATCACTTGAGTTTTCACTCGAGTGATCTTCTTTGGTTCTCAATACTTCCTATTCTTTGGAAGGATTTCCTCTTGTTCATTATGTTCCTTGTAAGCCATTTCATAGGCCATTAAAAATCCTATGAATTCTTTAAGAAAAAAGTTATTCAAGTCTTTTGCTTCTTGAATTGCAGTTACCTTTGGATCCCAGCTTTTAGGAATGGATCTTAAAATCTTATTAACCAATTCAAGATTTATATAGCTTTACCAAGAGCTTTTAAACTATTGATAATATCCATAAAATGGGTGTCAAGTCACAAATGACACTTAGCTTCATCTAAAATAATTCATAACTATGTACTAACAGATTAATTTTAGATTCTTTTACTCTATTTGTGCCTTCATAATGTT